TGCCCGTGAATATATATACCATAATAAATGGTCATCTTTGGCCGTCGCTTCAACTTAAAGCTTTTAAATTTCCACGTCACTGCTGTGACTTTAACTGTTACACGGTTCAGAAAGAGAGATTTTAGTTCAAGTTGGATTAAAATATTCCCGGGTTTGACTTTTTCTGTCAGTCTCACTGCTGTTGGTGCAGGTTAATAACCAAAGGAAAAAGAACCTGTGTCTGAAGACAGGAACCTGACAGAAATGATGCTTTTTATCTTTCATCCTTTATTGCAACACACACACACACACGTATATACTCCTGAAAGTACTCCTATATTTATAGTTTGTCGACACCATGGAGAGAGTAGAGAGACGACACATTCACAGTGGGATTACCTCCAATGTAGGAAATGATCTAGAATCATCCACGGAGGGAAAGACGTTCTGATTAGACCAACACGGAGCTGCATCACGTCGGTGTGTTATCGTGCTCCTTCGTCAGCGCTGCTTATAACAGTTTAATGATTTAATTGTTCAAACTGAAACCTTAATGATAATGTGCTGTTTAAAAGTGCACGTTAATGATCAGCGTTTTCCACAGCAGCGTGTTTATTCCTGGCCTTGGGTTAAGTGGGTTAGTCCTGTTTTTGATTTATTTTTAACATCACATTAAAGAGTGTGTGTGATATTAGTGTGTGTGTGTAATTACAGAATAAAAATTGTACTGCTGCGTTACAACAGCTGTGTACTCAGCTGAAGGGAGTGGGTTATTCATAGGTGTAAATATATTTAAACATATGTTTAAGGTACATATAGGTTTAAAATTAGTTTTTTAAAACCTTTCTCACAGTGTGATTTATTTTTATTTAGTTTTGCTTATTTCTTATTTCTGTCACTTTCATGATAAAGATACAGCGATTAAAATACAGTTTAATACTTAGAATGTATGTGATATTTACCCTTTTTTGGGGGGTCAGGGGTCATCCTTTTTCAAACAATGATATTATAGCCCAGAAATAAACCTGACAATTGTACAGAAGACCTGGGTTCAAAACCCTGCTCAGAAAAATGTCACACTGTGTAGAAGTTTGATGTGAAAATGCAACAAAAGTTTGAATAAAAAATGTAAAAGTTTTAGGTTAAAGGTGATCATTCTCCTCCTCGTGAAAATCCATTGTTTGTTGTTTTTTTTGTTTTTTTAACCATAAAGCTCCTGGACAATTTCAGCTTAATGTCTTGTTTTACGGCGCAGCCACAGTCTGTAGTGTATTCTGCTCTGAGCATCTACCACAGAAGAAGAAATAATAAAGAAAACAATTTGTGTATAAAATACTGGATGTTTTTCTGAAGCCTGCTGACCACAGCAGACAGCTGGAGTTAGGGTTTATAGCTACAGGTTTTTGTAGCTTTCAAAAGTACAAGAAAATGCCTGTGAGCAGCCTTCAAACCTTGAAAATACACCCACTGCTGCTGTATCTGCAGCTCAACTGCCACGGAGCTGATATAAGGGCTGGGATGCTACATGGGCGATAATACCACTGCAACTCTTCCTCCAGCTGAAGCCTCTTCACCTATCAGCAGTGGCACACAGCCATTTGAAGGCTTTCTATAATCCCCCAACACAATAAAACCAAACGGCTGATGAGCTCGTGTTTCTGCGCCGTAGGCTTTCATGATGAAACATGTAAATAATGTCAGAGCAGAGCCTTTTACGCATGTTTACGACTGTAACAACCCCGTGTATTCAGTCACATTATGGGAAAAAATATGGTTTATTTGAGAGCCAAAAATATTTAACTTACCGTGTCTTCTCTCCCCCCCGCCCCTCCGTCCCCGCGTCTCCACCTCCAGGCTTGCAAGATGTCCTTCCAGAGTTCCTGCGTGGGCGCTTCGTGGAGGCAGCACTCAGCTATGTGGCATGTAACTCAGAGGGTGACCTTCTCTGCCGCAACAATGACTGCTGGTGCCGCTGCTCTTCCCGTTTCCCGGAATGCAACTGCCCCTTCGCCGACATTAAGGTCATGGAGGAGAACCTGGAAAAGAGCAAAGAGGCCTGGAACAACCTCAACCAAGAGTTCATGGAATCAGGTAGGCTGCACTAAACGCTACAGAACGTTGTGGGGTATCATCATCATCGTCGTCGTCATCATGGAGAAATTTAAATTTTTTAGCTTCAGATCTAGTGCTGCTCTTGTTTTCTTTTAAAACAGCAGCGAGCTAAAGATGAAGTCGACAGACCGCACACCTCCACCTTCTCAGCGGGGTTGCCGTTTCGTTACCCTCCGCTCAGATGTTCACACGTGTGGTGTGCAGCGTAAAATTGAACTTTTTTTTTTATTAGTTCTTGGAAGTAGCACCAGAAAACTGTTAAATGCGTCAACACTGACAGCTAATTTAGTCTTTGGTGTGTGATGTCATCAGGAAGCACAGGTGTTGGTGTCTCTGACTGTTAGCCCAGCTGGCACCCAGGTGCTAACATTAGCTTTTTTTTTTTTGCAAGATATTACTAATGGACAGAAGGGGGAGCTGTCATGTGGTTTTGTGAATTTTCAGTGACATTTTCAATTTATTGTAGAATTCTGGGATGTGATGATCACACCCTGCTCCTTTCCCTCGTCTAAGGACTGAAATAAACGTCCTTTCGAATGTTCTTTCTGTTCAGGGAAAAGGAAGAGGAAAAAAAACGTTACTAGGTCCATATAATGTTCTGACTGCCACTGGAGCTGATATAAGGGCTGGGATGCTACATGGGCGATAATACCACTGCAACTCTTCCTCCAGCTGAAGCCTCTTCACCTATCAGCAGTGGCACACAGCCATTTGAAGGCTTTCTATAATCCCCCAACACAATAAAACCAAACGGCTGATGAGCTCGTGTTTCTGCGCCGTAGGCTTTCATGATGAAACATGTAAATAATGTCAGAGCAGAGCCTTTTACGCATGTTTACGACTGTAACAACCCCGTGTATTCAGTCACATTATGGGAAAAAATATGGTTTATTTGAGAGCCAAAAATATTTAACTTACCGTGTCTTCTCTCCCCCCCGCCCCTCCGTCCCCGCGTCTCCACCTCCAGGCTTGCAAGATGTCCTTCCAGAGTTCCTGCGTGGGCGCTTCGTGGAGGCAGCACTCAGCTATGTGGCATGTAACTCAGAGGGTGACCTTCTCTGCCGCAACAATGACTGCTGGTGCCGCTGCTCTTCCCGTTTCCCGGAATGCAACTGCCCCTTCGCCGACATTAAGGTCATGGAGGAGAACCTGGAAAAGAGCAAAGAGGCCTGGAACAACCTCAACCAAGAGTTCATGGAATCAGGTAGGCTGCACTAAACGCTACAGAACGTTGTGGGGTATCATCATCATCGTCGTCGTCATCATGGAGAAATTTAAATTTTTTAGCTTCAGATCTAGTGCTGCTCTTGTTTTCTTTTAAAACAGCAGCGAGCTAAAGATGAAGTCGACAGACCGCACACCTCCACCTTCTCAGCGGGGTTGCCGTTTCGTTACCCTCCGCTCAGATGTTCACACGTGTGGTGTGCAGCGTAAAATTGAACTTTTTTTTTTATTAGTTCTTGGAAGTAGCACCAGAAAACTGTTAAATGCGTCAACACTGACAGCTAATTTAGTCTTTGGTGTGTGATGTCATCAGGAAGCACAGGTGTTGGTGTCTCTGACTGTTAGCCCAGCTGGCACCCAGGTGCTAACATTAGCTTTTTTTTTTTTGCAAGATATTACTAATGGACAGAAGGGGGAGCTGTCATGTGGTTTTGTGAATTTTCAGTGACATTTTCAATTTATTGTAGAATTCTGGGATGTGATGATCACACCCTGCTCCTTTCCCTCGTCTAAGGACTGAAATAAACGTCCTTTCGAATGTTCTTTCTGTTCAGGGAAAAGGAAGAGAAAAAACACGTTACTAGGTCCATATAATGTTCTGAAAGAGCTGAAACAGAACGCCAGCAATCACTGATAAATCCCTCAGATTGAACACATCGACAGAATGACTTTGAATGACGTGGTTCCTTTATGTTCCTTTATTTTACTACAGTAAAGATCAGAAAACATCAGCAACTCGCAGCTACAGTTCGGTCCAAACACGAGGCTGTGAAAAGGCTTTGTAAATATGTTAATAAAAATGAAAAGCTACTTAATTAATCCAGGAGTTTAATCATCAAGTATGGGCTTCGTGAGACGGTGTATACTTTCCCTCTGAAGAGCATTAAAAGTCCTAAGTGCTGCTGCCAAGGTTGTAATGATTGGCATCAGGCCTGTCAAAGGTAGGAGCGAAACCTAATTAACCAGGTTACCAAACTCCCCAGAACATCTCTGCACGTATTTATTTCCTCTCCTTATTAAGAGGCTACTTAATAACCTGGCAGCCGTTCTGGATAAATCAATAAATCGATCCATCGTCATCTTTCTTTCTCTCTTCTCATTACACATCAGCTGATGTTTTTTTCATCTCTTCAATCACATCATTTTCTTCCCCTCGTAGTTTTATAACTCTGCTGCTCTGTTTATGGTCTCTGTTCCTCCAT